TACCCAAACTGATCAGGCTGGGCAGGCTAGGAGCGCAAAGCTGATATCCTTACACTAGTAATCGTGCTGCCCATCTCCAGTCTGTGAAATCAGTTCGGTGTTTGTGATTTAATTTCCTTCCATACGTGTGTTCCATAAGCCTTATCGGTCAGCAATCATATTATTCCCCCTTACAACCTCTCGCGCGAAGCCGGTGCGGGTCGCTAGTTAAAAATAAAATAAGTATATGGAAAACTATTTATTTTTCATTCCGTTTACTCTATTCATCTAAATCTACATCAGTATCAATACGCTCTTGAAAACGTCTATTACTATTTTTGTTTTTCGCTCTAACAGACAAATTTACAATTTGTACTTACGCCTATAGGAAGCAAGCGAAAACATGAAAAATTGTACACAAAATTTATACAATCTGTATGACCTTTGAATATTGAGCGACTTGAAGTGATATTAAAGGACTTATAGCCAAATACTTAAACGTTACTCAATTTTAAGATGTCTTCAAGTCTCGTGTTGTCACAGTCGTTTTGACTTAAAGTGATAAAGATAGCACGAAACTTAACGGCATCTTAAAATTGAGTAGCATTTAAGTATTTGAGAACTAAGCTACAAAATGATTAAAGCAGAGTTTTAGATTCTTATTTTTAAAGCTTTTCACACGCGCGTTACATGCTGCTGTCACAAATCATTTAAATAATAGTGTGAACAGGCTTTCAATTTGTAGAAACTTAGCTATACTTATGTTACTGACTTCACAGTTAATTTGTACGAGGGATTTATTCGCTAAAGATTTGCCTTAATTTTATTTAGTTTCTTTATACATCTTTAGAAAAAAGTTACCTCTATTTATAATTCACAGGTTTTCGTATACATTACGTTGAACAGTTAAATTTTTAACCGTTTTAAAGGTTAATTAAATAAACATCAAAAGACACAAATTATAATTCTCCCGCCAAAAATTTCCATACTTAGATTACTACAATAGGTATACTAATTGCAAATTCAATATTCACTCCTTTTGGTCATTTACATTTTGATAAATGTGGCAAGGAAGACCGAACGCTACGTACATATCAAGTGACGTAAAAACCGAGCCAAAGCCACGCTCAACTTAATGTAAGAAGAGCACATCTCACGTACACTAAAGAAAAAAATAAGAAAGATTCGGCGTGAGTGAGTTTCAAAAAGAGCATAGTTTTTTGGTCAATTGAAATGTACGCAGCGCTTCGTTTTCTTTTTCTTTGTTGGTCTAATGGTGTAACAAACAAGTGGTAAAATTAAAAATGTTGTACAACCGACTTCAATATAAATAAAATGAGAACATCATCAATGTAGTCAAAGTCAATTAAATACGCATTATTAAGGAATAACTCAAAAACTACTGATCACATCTCGATCAATATGGTACCACTTGAGAAGCACCAACTTTCAACGAAAAAAAGAAATATCGCTCATCTAGAAAAAAGTTATGAGGTAACATACATAAAAAATACAGTCGAATTGAGAACCTCCTCTATTTTTAAAGTCGGATATAAATGTAAAAGGTTCGTTTCCCGCCTTCGTTATTTTTTATCTGTGACAGTGACTCACGCTATTTTTATTTTTGGCGGAAAATTGATCGGCGCGGCGGTTTATTGCTGCTCGTGTATCCTGTATTTCTGTTTAAATAATGGTTTGAATGATTTTGCATAATAAATGCATCGATCACTAATAAAAAACTAGATACACAATCAGTGACAAGAACGTCCTTACCGAATGAGCGCCCACGAACATTTGGGTGCGCTTTTAATTTGTACGTAGCTTTGTGAATACAACTTTAGGTTTAAGGTTGGATTTACATTAATGTATATTCATTTCAACTAGAATTACGTCAAAACAATTGGCGACAGTTTTTATAGAACTATTGCATGGGATTGTGAATCTAGTTTTTTATTAGTGATCGATGATGAAATGTGTGCGCATGTGAACTATTAGTGGAAACGGTGAAATAAGTACTCCGGATAGAAGATAAGATTTCTGTCTACTTAGGCGCCTTGAAATACTATCGCCAACTATCTGCTGGCTCAAGTTGCCCTCAAAATCTCCCAATAACTGCACAATGTGACGCATCAACATATTATTGTGTTACTATAAAGGATTATTATCACTATGAAATAGCTTAAAGGACAAGCATCCAAGCCAATAGTCTTAATTAATAAAAATAAATATTTTAGTGATAATTCAAAAACCTCTTTTACCCGTTAAGACAATGTTACAATTACTTTACTAAAGAAAATTATTATGTAAAGGCGTAGAGTTCCAAAACTTAAATAAATTTAGCGTAATTAACTTACTCCACACCAGAATGCTAAAGAGCCCGCTATCACGCAGTCAGTGGGTAGTGTAAAAGTTGCATGATATTTTTTATTATACTTGCCACTTTTTTTAAAGGTATTTTGTAACCAAAAACGTAAACGTAAACACTTAATTATTATAAACGTATAAAGCATTTCGTTATAAATTATATAGCTTATAAATTATATTCAATTAGATTTATATTCAAGTATGTGAGAGCAAGCAATGAACGTAATTATAATATTTAGATCAATCTCAATAAGTACTTATAAAACTATTTCAGTAGGACGATTATTGCACAAAATATTTGAGATATTTAACATCTACACACGCATGATATCTTTATCCGACAAACTTTGATGGAAAAAACCTTAAAAATATCGCGCGATTTAGTATTGACGGCTCCGTGGCGCAGCGCTGAGGGCCGCGGGTCCGAATCCCGCACGGAACAAGTATTTGTATTGATCTGCAAGTAATTGTTCCGGGTCTGGATGTTTGTTCTTGTGCAATTTATGTTAGAAAACTGCCTCCACGATACAGGAGAAAATCCTAGTGTGGGGGATAACGTTATTTAAAAAAATTGCAAGAATCTTTGATGTTTGTTCTACCACTACTCCCGTAGGTTGAGGAACCTGATGATCTGTAATACAGATACTATACCTATAATAGACATCCTCACGTACACTTCACTGTGAATACATCCCTTAAGTATGTAGAATTATTTGTTGTAACATGTAGTCATATTTTGTGAGGGGAAATAAAGACATTATTATTTATTATTATTTCTTGTATGTTGCATATGGAAAGCTGTTCAATTTAAATATGGTACCTCAACCATATTATTTATTCTGTGCCACAACATTTCTTCAAAGTTTGTCGGTTGAATTAGATACTCACATCTATATTCTTGAAAAGAGAATAATTAAAAGCAAACCCGTGACTATATTTATTGTTAAACAAAAACTATACATCAGGACAACTTATTGTTTAACTTTATTTGATTAGTCGAAGATCTATGCCGACTGATTGTACTTTTCAGAGATCAAACGCAGGTAGTTATTGCATTACACTGCCAAGTTACTTTGCCACAAAAATAAACGTATGACAGTATGTATTATTACAAAAAAATGTATTGGTTCTCTTCTAATGTGTTATATTTTTTCAAGCCAGTAAATGTATGATACATTTACTTCCTTTTCATTCATTTTATTGCACATTCACATTCATTTTATAATATTTAATAAAGAAGTTATGACAACAAATAATAAGAATTTAGATACATTTTTCATACGTATTTGTACCTACCATTCATTGTATTATAAAGTATAAATGAATTTTTAAATGTGTGTAAAAGGGCATAATAAGACATAAACGTAAAATTTAGTTATAGAAAACATATTATTGTAAAGTTTAAACAGAATTCAAAATTCGAGCCAACGAATTTAAAAAAAAAATTGAGTGTTTGACAGATTCTAATAATTCAAAAAACGTTTTCTAATGTTATTAAGACATGACCAAATAATAAACTGATTTTTAATTTCTCCTATAAATGTACTTTTTCTTTAAAATTAAAATATTATACCTATATTTTACATGGCTTCCATTGAAAAACGTGTATTTTTTCAGTACATTAAGAAGGTAAGTAATTACAATATTTTTAAACAAAGTAAATAAACTTTAAAATGTTTGTTAGTAAACATAAAACGCATTGTTAGACTGCTTTCATTAACACTCTTCAAATTAACACAAAGGAAAAATATTTTACGTTAACGTAAAAATTACTTAATATATTCAAACTTTTTGAAATTTGAGAAGCCGCCATGTTGATTTCACTTGGAATTCGTGAAAATATATAAAACTGTACAAATTAAAAATAAGAAGTATACACAAAGTAAACACAGTTACAGCGATTGATCTAATGTTCGACGTCGGACGGATGGTGTAATCTGTGTTGCTTATCATATACGTAGTTGTCCGACTGTAGATTTTAGTTTAACATGGTAAAATTTTGGAATAATTAAATACACTTAAAATATTAAATTATTAATCTCAGTTACTATAATTAAGCTCCAATTTTACGTGTTTCGAAATTAAATCATAAAAGCTAAAATTTTTACTATAGTCGAAACTTTTTGCAATCCTTATTTAGGCGTTTAATCTCAAAACAACAAATTCAGTACAGAATTCTGAACAGACTTCTATGTACTACCAGACGGGCTCTACAGTCTTAATAAATTGCGCACTTAGTTACGGTAAATTCTCCGTAACTTCTATAGTCGAATGCGGGTGGGCGAAAACACTAGTTCTTTATTTTGTAAACCGCGAGCGCTGTCATTGACAATCTAACACTGTAATTTTGTTTAATGTGACTAAGAAAAGGCTGTTACTTTTTATGTCCGCACTTTGTCAAAGTGATTTGAAGTTTATTTCAGTTAAATATGTAACTTTAATTCGTATTCGCCGAAAAAACAGTAGCTGTCTTAAATGAAAATACAATTGCGTGACATATTTACCATGCCAGCTACCAGCCGGCGCCCCCACGATCTTCTGTGACACAGTTTATGTTCTGAATTGCCCGGCTAGTAGGATAGATAGAAGTCTTTGATATTGACAGATAAACTTAATAAGAGATCTCTCAACACTATTATCCTATATTAATTTACAATTCACATTTCGACGTCTCTACTTAAGCTGTCGAATTTCAAGTCTTTTACTTCTTCTGGACTGAAGCTCTTCACTGAAACCTTACAAGCTTCCCCCGCTATATCAGTACTGGATAGCTTGTTCGTGATCTTCGTTATTGAAATTCTACTTTCAATATCATTAGCGTCACATATTGTCTCTAGTACTACTCCCTTCTCTACTCTTCTCGGCTTTGGCACTGCGTTTTGGACTGTCTGCTTTGTACTTCTAAGTTTCTCGCTTAAAATCTTATTACAGTTCTTTTTAGACATATCCAATGCTAGAGGGTCTTCCTTGACATCTTCTGTCTTCTTCTCTTCGGAACTGGGCTTGTTCTGCTGCTTTATTTCAGCCACTTCTGCATTGGTGACGTTGTCTTTCTTTTTCCACTTCGTTCTTCGGTTTTGGAACCAGATTTTTACCTGAAAAATATATAATTTAAGTTAGGTATTTATATTTTTTTTATAAATAATGCGAATTGCATTAAGGCTGATCTATACAAAAAGGAGGATAGGTCTGTATCTTTCTCTGCTAGCAGGTCTGAATTCGCTCTCAATTTTTTTTCTTTTACTGAATAAGGGTGACTAACGATCACTTACTACACCTTATGGTATCTTCATCTGTCATTGATTAATTAATCAAAACGCAGATGCGTTGTCACCCCTGAGGACTAAGATGGAATGCATCGTTACCAGTAAAAAGAGTTTCCGGTTCTCTACAGCATTACTATACGAAACACAGCAGCATTAATCTACTTTTCCACACTGATATACTGTGAGAGCGTAGTCTTACCCATGTCGAGCCGATCCATTCGCGCTACAGCTACTCGTATGTAAAGCTAGCATAGCTGCATTGTGGCTCTATCACGTAAATATCATTTAAAAAAAAAACGTAATACGTAAAATAACGTATATGTAAACAATATTATTTCCCCAATTTTCGGGTTTGACAAGGTCCAGTCATTTAGTAGGCGTGCGTGGAGACATGAGTCCAACCAGAGGCCTGTTGCAAAATTTTACTACATTTCGAGATACTTCTCCGCATCATTACTATTATTACATACATATACATTACGCCTATAATCCTCGAGGGGTAGGTAGAGTCCGAAAAATATCACGTCACTCGGACCATGTTTAACCAAAAAGGGTATAGATGGAAAATTGTGAAAGACGTTAATGTGGCTAGCTCATCAACTAAATCACAAACCCAATATCCCATTAGTCGTCTTTTACGGCATGCTAGGCAAGTAACACAGTTGCCATATTCTTCTTTGTTATAAGTTCCACTTTAAGATGGAACCTATAAGTACCAGACCAACATTGTACGTGGTAGAGCCACACTGCCCTGGTCAAAGAATACCAGCATAAAATAGCAGCTTAATGCTGCTGTGTTTTGTATGGTGAATGTAGAGAACCGCAGACTGTTTTTACTGGAAACGGTAGGCATTCCATCTTAGTCCTTAGGGGTGACAACGCATCGGATTTATTTATTAATTCAGGATAAATGTAGATGTCTGACCTATAGCATCCACTTACCATCAGGTAAAATATGTGCCCGTTTGTCAACCTTATTCCATAAAAAAATTCGGACAAAAAATGTATATTAATATCTAACAGATGCCAATATAATTAGCAAAACTATAATATTAATTACCGCGTTCGCATACCGTCGTTCTAATATGTAGCATTTATATCCCTAAAATAAACTGCTTAACATTATCCGTATTTACACATAGTGTTTGCGTGTGTGAGTGGGATAACGCAAATGTATCGACTAACAAACGGTTAATTACGGGGTGATCGATCCCTGCCCCGGGGAGAAGGACTCAGCGGGATGTGCGTAGGGCTACCTCAACCCTGTCCAGAAATAATACGGGATTTATATGGGATATTTCGCAAGTTTTACTAGGCATAAATATTTATTTAAGCATGCAGCTTGGCAGAATGTCCACTATCCCATATAGTACTGCTGGTGTCGTAAGAGGCGACAGAGGGAAACTGAAACAGGAGATGGGCAGCAGCATCTTCGTGATCACATTCAAAATAATAAAAAACTGCGGTTGCCAATCTGCCTACCAAGCGTGACAACTATGACAAAATCTTTCCTATGAGGCAATCTATGTGAGAGGCTTATATTTAATGGTTATATTTCATAGGCTCCAAATCGATGCAATTATTGTTTGTATATCAATCCATTTGGAATTGGCGGTAACGGTGATAGTGCACGCAATTATGAGAGGGCAGGAGGTGCTCTTCAAACTAGGTAAGACACATCCTTTTATTTTATCGAGCGGATGTACGCGAAGTAAATTTTTACCAACTTTAATGGACTTCCGCAAAGTAACGCCTGATTCTATTAATTATCTAAATACCATTATTTAAGTTGTTTTGAAGATTTACATACTTCAAGCCTATAAAAATCTTAGTTCGGCTATTAAATAAATAAGATATTATTAAGATAACAAAATGCAGAGACAATCGTTTTTCTGACAAAAATTCAGTAGCAGCGTACAGTCAGCTCTACGCTGCTACTGAATTTTTTTATCAACACAGGTAAGAAACACCTTTAGGTTACTGAAAACTCCCCGTGTCTTGGAAGGCACGTAAAACCGTTGATCTTGTGGCGGATCACTCTCCGGCCATGTCGAATTTCCGTCTCGTCGAATTATAAGTGCGGGAATAGAGAGTGCATCTGTGCTAGCGCATACACTCGGACACTGTAATCTTGTCCAAAATCGTTTGCTTTAGATATTCTACTTGACTGAAGGCCTTGTAACCGTTGCTATAATAGAGGGGGAAAAATGATTTGTTGCCCTACGTTGAAAGTTTAGCGTTTGATTTAGGTATTCTTTTTGGCTCAAGGTCTTGTAACCTTTGGCATAATAAAGAAAAAAAATAGTTTAGAAGAATTACCTAGTGTATTAACGAATTATGATAGTATCCCAAACTAAGTTATCAAAAAGGATTTCAATTTATCCGGAAACATCGACGGCCCTACACGCAATCGATACGTCGCCGGATGAATTAATAGGCGACACGGTTTGATTCCCTCTCGATTGATGTTGCGCTGGTGAAACGCATCGAGGATAACGCTACTGTTTCAATAGGAAACGATAATACATAACGTTTGCGCGCCAATATACTCAAGCGTTCGCTTTTTCCTTTCATACCTGTGTTTCTTTCAAATTAAAATCATTCTAGCATGCCCTGCATGTCACATTACAAATTTAAGATAGTGCATCATTTATAGGTATATATGTGACACCCTGCAAGGGCATAGCTACACTAGAGGGCTAACTATTTTTGAATTATCTAGCTGTAAAACATAAATTATAATATGTCATATCATAAGCATTTAGTTCAATTTATAAATACACTGCAGTCGAAGTATTCTTTCCTTGTCATCTTTGTAATTTATTTTGCAGATTGCGCAGAGTTTTCTAACATTTTTATATAATTCGGTAAATGGTTAAAAAATTATTTTATTTTTCTTCCACTCTTATAAAACACACGATGTTATTTTAAGCACTGTTCTGTTCTGTTCTGTTTCTGTGAGTTAATAAGAAATTGGAAACTTTCGAGTCCTGCATGCGCTATCGCTATGGTATTTATCTGACGGATTTTAACTGAACATATCTGTTTTGATATAATTCTTTTGAAACAAAAAAGTTATACGTGGTATAGCCACGATGAAGCTTATGATTGTAGCAAGAATGGGTCGCCTCGACTTGGGAAGGACCACGGTGTCGGTCTCACAGAATACCAGCTTAAAATAGCAGATCAATGCTACTGTATTCCGTATTGTAAGTGTAGAGAACTGGACACCCTTTATACTGGAAAGGAGGCATGCTACCTTAGTCGACAGAGGTGACAACGCACCTGTGTTTTGGTTCTTAATCGAGGATAAATGTAGATGATGTCTATGGGCCACAGCATCCACTTACCATCAGGTGGACTGTGTACTTGTTTGTTGCCCATATTCTATAAAGAAATGAAACAACCACTATCTACCTTATGGTAATAAGATACAGGAGCCAAAAGAGCCTTCGGATAAGAATAGGTATAATCCAAATGCAGAATCATTGTCCAGTCATTCAAATTTAAATAGTAATTATAAAAATCCAACTGCGAAAAAAAGTTTACTGAAAAGAGAAAAACTGACAAACTTTATACTCTATGTAACTCCCACATTTTTGATGAATCTAGAGACATTCCATATGTTAAAATATATCAGGTCGTTTAGGATACAGAGTGTACCAAAGACATAAACATACATACGCTCGAAAAACATTACCCGCCTTCTGGGGCAGTCGGGTAAAAGTTGGCCTTTACACAAAACATTTTGAAAATCAAAAAACTACGCCATCGCTTCAACAATCCCTCCTGTGGGATACCTTGTGACAAGAAGCGGCAAGAAAGTTACAAGTAGTCTATTTTTATCCAACAGTGACAATTTAAAAAAATGTTATACCTATTCTCGACGTTTCGGGTGCTTTACACCACCCATGTTCATGCGGGGGGGACTAAGGTGTGTAAGGATGACGTCCCGATGTCATAGATAACCCGGCTTCCTTCAGTACTTTTATATTAATTTTTGGTCCGATCCACGCAGGACGAGCTTACAGTGTCTTGAAGTCTTGTCTTGGGTTTGGATTTAATTTTATTCCTTATTTTCTTAATTTATTTTTTATCCTTATTTTTTATTTTATTTTATTTTATTGGATTCCAAGCACTGGTAGCAGATGTTAGGATGTTTTTTTTTATTTCAATAGCCTCACGCATCAACCTCGCGGTGTTCTTTGCGAGTATATGTCGGCTATCAAATCTAATGTAATGCGAACGAAAACAAATATAATTTCCCATTAAACACTTCTATTAAAACCTCGCACCCACTGTGCCGCTAGTGTATTCACTTAACACTCGAAAATAGGCGTTAGTGGAGCAATAAAACGAGGAAAGCAAACACGAGTGTTGAAACTGGGCGAACGAAGTGGCGGCAGTAAACCTACGAGCGGGCCAATAATAAAAATGAATCGTTAAGCCCACATTACCTACGGCTTCCCGGGGCATTAATTAAGGAGCCGAATTTCGGACTCCCTGGAGGTCCGGGAGCTATATAAAGCCTGGATTAATAATTTACGTTACGGTGAGGCATTGAATCAAATGTTGGAACAATTGTCATCATTTCATATTTATGGTTTTATTTAAAAACGTTGAAATAATGTTATCTATACTGGTATCTATCAGTTAATCTGTCTATAATCTATAAATACGAGTACATAATAAAAATAAAATTGAAGTGTCTGTCTGTTATGTCAAAATACCTTTAATGGGCTATTTATAGGATAAGGGTAACAAACGATCACACAGTCCACCTGATGGTAAATGGTTGCTGTGGCCCATAGACATCTACATGTATCCTC